AATTCATTCAAGAAAAATTGATCGAAATATCTAGGGTAGAAATAATTAGTCTCTGCCTCTTTAAAATGTTTTTTTTTTTTTTTTTTTTTTTTTTTTTTTTTAAGTAAATTAACATATCAAACGTCAGGAGTGCAACAGAATGAGGTTAAATAGGATCACTAGTACTTCAAAATCTTTTTTTTTTTTTTTTTTTTTGGCTTAAGTTTTCAGTATTGCCTTATATATATTGATATTAAATATTATGGGAAACATAATTGAGCTTAATACACAAGTATCGAGATTATGTCCCTTGGTGCGCTCTTTCGTTACGGAGGGAAGTTTTGTTTCCGCGTAAGCAGGCAGTAGGGACAGTTTTTTTTTTTTTATATTTAATACATTACATCATCGATATACCGGTCTATCATAACTGACTGTCGGGATATACTTATTACTGAATAAACGCAAAGGCGTCAATTTTTTCTACGAAAAAAAAAAAACGGAACAAAAGAAAATAAAAATCAGAACAAAAGAAAATATCAGTGGATAAAACATCCAACGAGGGAATAAATATATATATCGTGGATCTATAATAAATACACACGCCTCTGATCATTGTACGTCGACATTCTGAATGACTCTTTACCTTATAATAACTTCTAAGAGCCCTATAACTTTATAGAAAAGGTTTGTGCAATCAAAGAATTTTTTTTTTATAAAGACTATGATGGTTCTTTCGTTTTTAAGTATCTTAACTGAAAATAAATTTTGTAAATATATATAAAAGGGCTTTACAAAATTATCAAAATGATCACTCCTTGGCATTATCATCTTTTTATATCATCAAATGGATTTTAAAAGCCATAGCAATCGTTCTTTTATTTAATCAAGTTTGTAAACATTAACAACCTATCCCACTTCCATGCTGATATAGATACTTTTTGCGCCTCTATCGCAGGAGAGTTACAATCTCGAAACTCGCGTATTGTTTAAGTATAATACTTTTTAATTTTTAACATGGATAACTGCTCTATATTTAAGACAATTAATAAAAGTGTTAATTTGCCTTTCAAAAACATTTTTTTTTCAATTTACAAGTGCATACATGTATAAACCATATTTAGAATAATTAAGGTTGAATATGATGTCCCTGGGGTACCTTGTGGCATCCCTGGGGTACCTTGTGGTATCCTTGTGGTACCTTGTGGTTCCTTGTGGTTCCTTGTGGTAAAAAAAAAACACACCCGTAGACATTTACTTGCGACTTTTTGTTTTTTTAAAATAGAAAGCAAAATTGTGAAAAGTTGCCTTGCAATAGTTAAATAAAGCTTTGTAAAAAGTTACCTTGAAATAGCTAAATAAAGCTACCTGAAGTAGCTAAAAAAAAAGCTACGGTAGGTAATTATACATGTAGCTACGTAGCTAAATGTACTGATTGTACTGGACCTGGTAATGTCATGTGATGTGTTCCTTCTTAGTATACGAAATTTGTAGACATTATTATGAAAGGTTATCTCGAATAATGCAGAAATATAATCTGAACAATATACATCTGTTTTATCTTTTCGAAAATAAAAGGAAAAAAAACAACAAACAAAACTAAACAACCTTGGTCAGTGTTGGTTGAATCAATGACATCAGTGAGTTCTGATTTTGATACTAGTTGCCATATTTTGTACAGTGTACTTGTGTTTTTCAAACAATATTTAATTTGTTTACCCAACTGAGAATATATACACTGTATGCATATTTGTCAATGATTTAAAAAAAATCTTTCCCATGTTCATGATGTTTATAACATATAGAGAAGATAATACAGATATTAAATTGAACAGAATTAGTCTGAAAGACCTATTGCTTATTGCGATCATGATATTTTTCAGGGAAAATAATTGCATCTAGAAAACATTTCAGATGTCAAAATGACTAAAAAATGAAGAATTGATGTTTTATCTACAAACCTGATGTAACAAGTCATGCAGTTTAAAATGCTGTTTGTAAAAATATGCTGAAGGACAGTTGACTAATTATATTCTTATCCAATATATATATATATATATATATATATATATATATATATATATATATATATATATATATATATATATATATATATATATGAGGACCCTTGTTCATGAGCTTTTACACACATTCATTTAATAGTTTTGTTTGGGAGATAAATCTAGGGAACTAAACAAGTTTGGCTTTCCAGAAAGCCTGAAATGTCATCTCTTTGGCTTCGTTAATGTCACAGTGGAATGTAACATTTTTTCCTCAGCTATTACAGACAGAAGAACTTTTTTTTTCAAAAGGGGGGGGGGGGTGGGTGGGCACAGAATAAACAGTGGAATGTAACATTTTTTCCTTTTTTCTGATTATAAGTAAAAGACCTTTTTTCCAAAAAAAGGGGGGGGGGGGTTAGTCAGAAAAAAAATTACAATTTACCTGAATAATCTTTCACTAGGAAAAATAAAGGGGGGGGGTGTTCAAACTCGAAATTTAATCCACAGCTTAGAAATCCATCGTCCTTACCTGTTATTTCTAAAAATTGTAGAGATATCTCCTACAGTCAGAATCTTAGTGTGACCTATCCTCATGCAATAGCATCAGAAAGGAAAACAAAGTGTCTGCATCTTTTACCAGATTGGCTTGCAAATTCATAATTTTAAAACATTGAATTCTCAATCATTTTCGTAGATGGGAGGGAAGATTTAAACGTTTTGACTCTCTGAAAACACATTGGGGGGGGGGGGGGGGTTGAATATGCTGCAACAAAAAATGTGGGGTAGGTAGAGGCAAGCTGCCTTTCAGTGAACAGTTGCAACAGTAATTTCAAATATTTTTTGCATATGTGTTTAAAAAATGTAACCACTAAGCAGTATTCGTAAAATTTGTAAACAATTGTTATACAAAAGGATGGGTAAAACCTTAGCGTTCCTATTGACTTTACATCACAGCAGATTACTCGGACAACAACCAAGAAGTTTAAAGCGCTAACTTGAATTAGTCCGGTGTCATATAGTGAGACTCCCACCCCCATAGTGAGACTTCCCCCCGGAAATCTGGCTATATATAGCGGTAAGACTCCCCGGTGGGGGGGGGGGGGGGAGAATTACTATATAGTGAGTCTTCCCCCCTAAACGACCATAGTGAGGCTTCCCCCTTCCATGTTCAGTAGTATTTTATTTACATCGACGATGTATATATATTTGCATTTTGATAATGATCTTATAAAATAGATACGTGTATGCCGGAATAAATATAGAAGTGCGCATTAAAAATTTATCGTGCACAGTAAATAATTGAATTGTTCCAAAATGATTCTTATCAAAAGAAATACATTTAACATTTAAGAAATCATTACACTCGTGGTCTCTTGGAATTTGCTTATGTTAACCTTCATGGGGAATACAGTAAATACAATATAGTAAAGAAAGATGCATATGTATACTTGTAACAATAACGTACATTTTTCATTCAGTTATCTCACATCAATATACATGTACATGTCATCCCATAATTATTTTTGGTTAACAAACTTTTAAAAGGCTATTAAGATGTTTTAATTATTAATTAACGGAGAACTTTTATTCATATACTGAAAAATATTGTTTTACAATGAAATAAAATATTCCGGAAACTACATTTGAGGGGAAGTCTCACTATGAAAGGGGGGAGAGACTGGCTATATAGTGAGACCTCCCCGGGAGAAGTCTCACTCTATTGCCAGTCGATCTTCCGGGGGGAAGTCTCACTATATTAATAGCCAGTCTTCCCGGGGTATATCTCACTATATAGCCAGTCTTCCGGGGAAATCTCACTATGGGGAAGTCTCACTATACGACACTGATTCTCAATTGATTTCGAAAGATTTTCCACTTTTAAATATATGGTTTATCCCAAGAAATAACCCTCACATGCATTTAAATATAGGTCAGTAATAAAATTTACATGGTATAAGCTAAAATTAAGCATTTGCAAATTATCTGAAACAGTTCCAATTTACCAACCCTGATATTTAGTCTGTTCAAGGAAACAATCATTTTATATAATAATATTTCAAGAATAAGAGAAGTGATTTGATAGCTTTTTTGCCACTAACCAATAATGCAATTTAAAATTACACAAAGAAAATGATTGCAGGTGCTTTAATTATAAATTCTCAAAATACGAGTCGGGTAAAGAAATTGCGTCTTTCATACAAAGGTAACAATATTGTATTTCTGACATTTATTTTTTATAGAACAAAAAACAAAGAATAGTGCAGACATGCGACGGTAAAAACTCACAATGATTATATAATCTTTCTTCCAATGATTGTAGTTTTAACATTATAACTTCTGTATTTGTTTTTGTTTTAAAAAAATATTTTAAAAATGGCATCAGGTTATTGAATGCCTAAGATGCACATAAAGGTAAAATTTTCGACATCAATTCACATCAGTCGAATTTAAACTTTTAATGCGAGTATTTACTTTGATTTTGTTTTTCTGTAGATTCTCAGATCCACGCCTTGGCTGATTTAATCGATGCCATGTAAAGTGTACATTGATACACACGCACTGGCCATCATTTACGTAACAGCCTAGATAACTGCATGTTATTTGAAGACCCGCCACTTTGTTTTTCTGTAAATACTTTGATCCACGCCTCGGCCGTTCTAATCGATGCAATGTTTAGTGCATTCTGATACACCACTCGGCCGATTCGATGAAGGTGACGGAATCAGCCGAGGTTTGCCGAATGTCTGATACACACGCGCTGACCATGATTAGATAACTGCATGTATTTTGAAGACCCACCACTACCCAAGCGATATTGTCTCTGTGACTCTCTTTGATTTATGTGTAGTTTTTTTCTTTTTTAAGATGGCCTGTTTGACAGATCGCCCATTCTTTGTCATTGAGCAATTTTGTTTACATCTCTATAGGAATTTTCGCCGTGACGTAGCAAATCGGTCACGTGACACGCTGGTTGGCAAAATATTTGAAAATAGTAATGGCCGCATGCTGACAAAGAAAACGATGGTTGTATCATGCTGTGTTATCGGATGTGTATATAGGTTTGATAAGACTAATCCCAAGAGCTTTTTCCGCATACCTAAGAAGCCTGAATCAAGAAGAAAGCTTTGGATTTCTGCTATTAAGCGTCAAGACACGAGTGGAAAAGAATGGGAGCCTGCAGACCACGACCGCGTTTGCTATCTTCACTTTGTGACTGGTAAGTGTAATTTTTTATTTTAAAAATCATAAAATGTGTGATTATAAAGTATATAAACAATATACTATTAATTTTAAAAATGAATTTATCTCTACCCTCCGAAGAAAATACCCCAGCCAACTTGTAACATGTACACAGGCTGTATACATAGGTCTATGGCTGTATATAACATGTATAAAGAGGACTGCTTTATGTAAATGTTGAGTTAATATTCTAGAGCAAAGAAAACTGTAAACTGATGACACCAGTGACAACTTTAGATCATTTGTTAATAAAGTCATAAAAACAACTCGTTTACAAAAAAAAGTTTAAAGAATTTACCATTGTTTACCATAATGAACAAGTGAACTGCATGAATGATACTGATTTTAGTTTCAAAGAACAATGATCAGTCATCCCCAGATTATGTGCCATCTGTGAATATGGGCTATGACACAAACAGAAAAATCCTGAGCAAAGGAAGGCTAGATACCTGAGAGCAGAGAAGCTTGAAACAGAGAGACAAAATTTTGAGATAGCTTCTGCCCTGTTGGATTTATCCTCCAAGGAGAATATTTTTACACCAGTCTCGGAGCCAGAATTACCAGGTAAGATTAAGTTTCAGCTCATTTCAAAACCAAAAAAATTATCTCTAGAACTCTTTTTTGTTAGTAAATTATAAAGTTGCTCTCTTTTATTTGGTATAATTTTATGGAAAATTAGCCAGTCATGGTTAATAAAAGCTGAATTAATTTCACATTCTTATTTAGCAAGATTTTGTAATGAAGCATCTCTGAGAATTTTTTGAAATCACACATATTAATAAAATCATTAATATTTCAGATACAACAAGTGCATCTCAGCTTGACAGTTGTTTAAAGAAGATTGCCGAACTTCAACTTGAGAAGAAACAACTTTATTCTGAATTGGAAAGACTTCAGTCAGAGAACAAGGTACTCAAGGCACAAATGAGAGAGATGTGCTTCGAGGAACAAGTGACAGGGAGTGACCACAGATTGCAGTTTCATACTGGAATTCCGTCTGTTGCATTGTTTTCATGGCTTCTATCATATGTAAACAGTGACTTGCCTACATGCAAAGTTATGTCAAGTAAGGGTATTCTTTTGTGCATTTTGATAAAATTAAGACTGAACCTACAACACCAGGACCTGGCTTATCGTTTCGGTGTCTCATTGACTACAATATCTGACATCTTCAACCGAGGTCTACCTATATTAGCAAAGAAACTGTGTAATCTAATTCAGTGGCCGGAAAAAGAAACTTTGATCAGTAATATGCCTTTTGTCTTCAAATCCTCATATCGAAAGTGTTGCTGCATCATTGACTGTTTCGAAGTTTTTATTCAGAGACCAGGACACCTTACAGCAAGAGCACAGACATGGTCAAATTACAAACATATCAACACCCTCAAGTTTTTAGTGTCTATTACACCAATGGGTGCCATATCATATGTGTCTAAAGCATATGGTGAAAGGACATCTGACAAGGTCATAATATTGCGGAGTGGATTTCTTGACAAACTCCAATATGGTGACCAAGTGATGGCTGACCGGGGCTTTCTCATTGCAGAAGAATTAGCAAATCATGGAGCGACACTTGTCATTCCTGCCTTCACTAGAGGGAAAACTCAGCTCTCAGCGAAAGATGTGGAACAAACAAGGAAAATAGCCCATGTGAGGATACATGTGGAGAGAGCCATCGAGAGGATTAAGAACTTTAATATCCTAAACACTAACTTGAGTATGCATATGATACCTCATTCCGACAGCATTGTAACTATTTGTGCTGCAGTATGCAATCTCCAGCCAAAATTAGTGTCATAACTTTCCAACCATAGAGGACCATCAGCATCCTATGTACATATGTTGTGTAAATTAAAAAAAAAATTGTAGTGATTGACTTTATTTGATCAACATTTAAAATATATTTGATAATTGTTGATGAACTTCCATGCATTCCAACCATCATCCTATCCAAATTGATTTTACTACAGAGTTATTGACTCTATTTATCAACATTGAAAAATATACCGTTTAAAACTGTTTATGTACTTGTATGCATTCTAACCATTGTCATACTCGTTGGACTATCATCATCCTTTTGTCATTGTTTTTGCACACTGACATTTGTACCAAGTTAATGATTATTAACATTGATAGTTGTTCATGATTGACCTTCAGTGTACATGTATTATGAAGTCACTTGACATGCTATTTTCTATAAAGAACTATATACGGTAAGGGCGTATTCCGGCCCCATAATAGTCAAATTATGAAAATCTCTTGAAATGAGCAAAAGTGCATATATTGTATAAAATAATCCAAATTAAGACAATATATTATGAAATTGGACAAATTAGTTGGCTTTTCTTGTCCCTGTGACGTCACATACTATTTGGATTTCCGTTATTTTTAAAATAGAGGCCAAAATGCAGAGAATTTGTTCACATTTGACTATAGTATTTATAGAGCGCAAGCTTGCTCAGGTACCATATTCACATATTTCATTGATATCATCATTCTACACATTATATCAAAAGATCTAGTCTGAGCAGACCTGAGCTCGATAATTTCCAATCAAAATACCAAACGTAAAATACACTATTTTCTCTCAAAATCATTACAATTTGGAATTTACGTCATTTTATTGACGTCATATCTAACTAATGATGTCATAGTTGATCAAAATATTGATATCTAGTTCTTATGTCTTTCATAAATCAGGCCATCATTAAAAATATTTTTGTTTGTACTCCGACCCACATTTTTCAAGGTGTGTAGGTAGGTAGGCATTTTTTTGCAGTATCTAAAAAATTGATTGTCATAAAACCACAAACTTAAGATTTATTGATGTTTATTGATGTTTTCATGATTCAATGTTTAATATTTATTGCTATAAAAATGTTGTGTCAAAAAACAAGCAACTAAGAGAAATCATAAACCTTCTTTCAATTGGAACAATTTATTTCCCTGGAAACCAAACCAAAAAAACTTAAATTCAAAAGTACTGAAAAAAAAATTATTGGGTAGGGGCGATTTTGACGGGTTGGTCGGAATACATCAAACAAATCATTTTTTTATTGTTGGGTCATTGGCAGAATGTCCAAGGATGCCAGCCATCTTATTATTAATATCTCATTCCCACTGTGAAAAGAAAAAAAAACTTTTTATTTTTACCCTTTAATTACAAGTCAATTATTTGATCATCACAATCTTTCAAGGAATAAATAATATACAATTAATTACCCCTTATGCGGTCAACATGGTAAAATAAGGACCCGAGACCTGGCCCACGAGGTGACCTGACCTGACCGAGGCCGCGTAGCGGCCTAGGTCAGGTCAGGTCAGCGAGTGGGCCAGGTCGAGGGTCCTTATTTTACCATGTTGAACTCATAAGGGGTAATCAATTGTTTTATTATACCGATATAAGTTAAGGCAATTTTTGTAAGCTTAATTACTAAAATAATCAATTACATGTATAAGACCTACGAACTGTTATCAGTGTTCCATCGGGATCGGGATTTGCTAGTGAAGTTGTTTACTTTTCGGCTGCTAGTCTTGTAAGTTTTTGCACCGCCGATTTATTAACACACTCTGTGATTGTCAGTAACATTGCATTTTTATAAATTCACAGATACCATTCCCGACTACAATGACAATCTGGTGCAGACTTTTACTGTACAAGAGAGCCGAGTCTGCGTTCGTTGAATTTGACATTGTATTGTAACGAAAGTTAATTTCAATGAAAACGATAAATGTTATGACGCATCTAAAGGCCAATCGTGTTCCGTATCCTAAAAATACTATACATATTTTTATAACGGCAATTTTTGTAATGTACAATCATTACTGTATGCATATTTTTTTTTAAAATTTGAATGGAATTTGGATTAACAGGTCATTTTTAGCGGTCATTAATTTTATTGACCGGTCATTATACCCCACGTGCAATGATTCCTAGGTCATTATTGCTGTAAACGGTACTTTTTGGAGTCATTATTGAGTTTAAAAGCCTTCTAACAAGCCAATCAAATTTGAGTATTCTTAATAGAGGTATAATAAATACAAATTGTCTGCTTTAAGCACTGAATTGAACATCATTGTCATCATGAAAACAATACATGTTGAGTCATTTTTACAAGGCTTGATAACATAGTCAAAGTCATACATCACAACTGTCACAAAGCCACTGACCACGAGGTTTACGCCGAATGTGAACAAAAGGGTAATGAAACCACTGATATGGACATCCTTCATTATCACATTTTATCATGCGCCCATACTCGGGTTCCCTGCAAATGCACCAAGTGGTCCTCCCATGGTTGTTGTTGCTATCTGTCTCAGTCTCCTGGTCATGATTGCTTGTGGTAGGTTGTTCCTCCAACTGTCTTGTTACAATTTCCTGTAGGACGTAATCTTTCATAATCTTTTCACATTTATTGAGCAATGTTCTGCAGAACTGTTCATCTATACAAATGCGTACTATCACCATGCTTGCACTTGGTTGGCACTTGGTAAACACCACAAAGTCACAATACCGATACTTGATAATGCACATTTGCATCTGTACCTGGGTGTAATACCTGTGGCTCTCTTTTAGATGTAAGTGTTTATTAATGTAGCGGGACCGAGCGTACGGTCCTTTTTGCTATTTCAAATCCTCTTTACACTTTATTAAAATCCTCAATATCCCATATGAATTTATAATTATGTTTTTCCTCCTTTGGTAGCGTAAAGTAAAAATTCCAGTAATCAGTTTATAAGTTTATTACATGTTTCTATTAATCACAAGTACAACATAATATCTAACTCACAACTCTGTAACTCCGTAACTAACTCTGTCCCTCATCACGTGTGCACGCCCTATATATACATTTTAGGGGCAGCTCCGCTGGAGCTGCTAATACACGGCAGCTACCGGGTAGCTGCCGATTTACGAATAGCGTCTATTACGTAATATACATACATTCTATATACAAATATTTTTCACCTTTACAACCAACCCCCAACCCCCCCCCCCCCCCCGGCTAAGATTTTGACCCCGTTCAAAATAAAATTACTGACTTCAAAGCAATTTATATACAAGTATACAACAAAATAAATATCCACATGCAAGAGTCAAGAAAATAAGAATTTACATTATCTTTAACTGTTAAAAGTTCAAGTATTAAAAAGGTCAAAAGTCACTGAGAAAAATCTCCATACACGTTCCTGTCTCTCTGATTACGGAAATGAATTGGAATCTCACTTAAAATGTCCCGAATGAGAGTGTCCATGTCAACGTCACTTGGATCGATATTTTCGCTAAAACACACATTGGTTTGTCTTTCGATTTCAGTATTCCCGTTCGGCATAACGGTAGTTGTTCGCGTTAAAGATATTCCAATTGAATGTGTAATGGTCACTGGATGAATTTCCGCGGCACTACCACTACGTTCGCTATTGTTTATGGAATGTTCGTTCTCGCTTTCACTTTCTTCAACATTTGGTGTGTCCTCGCGTAATAAATCGTCCACAAAGTCATTGCGTAATCCGTTTTCCGCCAGCAATTCCTTCATTAGGTCCGAATTTACACTTTATATTTCCAATCTTTCTTCGTTTGCTTCTCTCGGCTGCTCTTCAATCGTCTCTTCATCTGATGAAATGTCCTTAAGTTCTGGTACATACATCGGCTGTTGTTGGACATTTGTTTTGACATCAAATGACTCCTCGTCAGATGAAATATCTTGATACAAAGGAACGTAGACTGCTTTTTGATTTTTCTTTAAATCTTCTGTAGTTAATTGTTTACTACTCGCCATCGTTAGTTCAAGTTTTCCGTGCACACGGTTCAAATGTTTCTTTAGATTAAATTTTCTGGAAAATGGTCTTCCACAAAAATCACAGTGAAATATATTTACACGTTCGCTATGAATTTCTTTTATATGTTGTTGAAGCGTTTTTCTATTCCTAAGTATTAGTCCACAAGTTTCACAAATCATCTGTACTGTCAAACACCCGAATAGGGTATGATCAGTCTCTGAGTCTACGCGGCACTTTTATAAGGCGCCCGGCTCTGGTCCGCATCGAGGGTCTGTCTGGAGTTCGGGTATTTCGTGTCTGGCTACTGTCGCGGTCCTCCCCAGCTGCATCGAGGTCACTGTCGGCGGCGTCCTTTGAAGTTCGTCTTTAGGGTTCTAGTAATTTCTCGGAGTCCTTTGCACTAAAATCTGTTTGCTTTGGGACAGGGGTAATATCAGGCTCCTCAATAATTTGATCTTTGCTGTTTTTCAGAGTTTGCTTTACTAATGTCTCTAAATTACGTTGTATTGTTTTCCTTGTGCGAAATGGCTTTAAGTTGTCCGCATGCACAATCTTTGGTTTTGACGACCTCGAATGCTGAATTTGGAACAGGATGTTACTTAGGCGTTTCAGCACAACCCAAGGACCAGTCCAATTTCGGGATAGTTTCAGTTTTGTGCCTTTCTTCTGTTTAGGTTGGTAAAGTCGTACCACGTCTCCCACTTCATAATTCTTTTCTATAATGTTCTTGTTATACTGTTTTCTTTGCGTTTGTATTGAAGATCGGGTTGTCTCTCTGGCCAAATCATGAGCTTTTCCCAGACTTTCACACAACTTTGTCACATAATCCGTATAACACATTATATCCTCATTTTGAAAATCAGTAAAATCACATAACACAGACACTGGAATTGTTATTTCACTTCCAAATATCACACGGTATGGCGTAATTCCTGTAGTCTCGTGTACTGAAGTGTTGTACGCCATGCTTACAGCATCTATGTTTTTATCCCAATTTGTTTGTGGTAAGTTCACGAATTTAAATAGCATTTCTTTGATTGTCCGATTAAGTCTTTCTACCATCCCGTCTGATCTTGGATGAAAAGCTGTTGTTCGAGTTTTTGAGATACACATTATTTCACAGAGCTGTGAAAATAATTGGCTCTCGAATTGACTTCCCTGATTCGTATGAATTTCTAACGGACATCCGTACCTTTTTATCCATCCCCGAAATATAGCGTCCGCTACTGTTTCGGCCTCCATATTAGGTATTGGATAAATTTCTGTGTATTTTGAAAAATAATCCGCTACTACTAATATATACATATTTCCGTGTTCAGACTTGGGGAATGGTCCTGCTAGATCAGCTGCTATTCTCTCAAATCGTCCACCAGCTATATAACTTTTCATGAAATGCCTCTTCTTTTTCTGTGGATTTTTCTTTTTCCTCACAGATATGACATGATTTGACATAGTCGCCTATATCACGATAAAAATTAGGCCAATAATATGAACTCAAATCCGCTCTTTTCTTGGTTCTAAGAATTCCCTGATGTCCAGAAATAGGCGAATCATGAAAGTGCCACAACAAAGCATTTTCAATGTCTTCGGTGTACAGATCCGCAATCGTATTGTATCACCCTGTATCCACATGATACACAGTACTCCCTCATGTATGGTAAGTAACTCCCATCGTCCATACCAAAATCGACTTTCAGGATGCATATGAAATAAAGCGTCAAATTTTGGCTTGTCCTTATTCCCATATTTTTCAATCCAACTAAGAATAAATCCGATTACCTTATCCTCAATCTGACTTTTTCTAAGTCCAGAGTATGTTAAATCAACATCGGGCTCAGGTTGCGCTTAGCTCGTCTGGGTCTATTTTCTGTCCGTCCTTTTCCTGTTGGTTGATTGTTGTCACCTTCACTTGTGGTAAACAAATGATGAATATCACATATAGCCTGGTCAATACACAAATCTGTCTCGCACGGGGTTTTACGCAAATCATTAATGTGACTTTCCGGGACTCCGTTGTATTCGTCGTCTAATTTTCTTTTGCATTGTCTGCACACTGTTTCATCTGAAGTTACAGTGATTCTAGATAAGCCATCTGCATTAGAATGTCGCTTTCCTGAACGATGAATAATTTTAAAATTGAACTGTCCTATTTGCTGTAGCCATCGACATATCTGTCCGTCTGGCTCTTTGAATCTGTGTAACCAAGTGAGAGATCCATGGTCTGTGCGTAACACAAATTCTTTTCCCAACAGGTAATGTTTAAAGTATTTCATGAAATAAACTACTGCAAGCATTTCTTTACGCGTAACACAATAATTTCTTTCTGCTGTAGTCAACGCACGACTTCCGTAAGCTATTACTTTTTCACTGTGTTCCTGAATTTGAGATAACACGCAGCCAATAGCATTATTACTTGCGTCGGTATCAAGAATAAATTGACCAGCAGTTGGATCTGGATATCCAAGAATCGGAGCACTCACAAGTTTTTCTTTCAGTGTATTAAAGGCATGATCACATTCGTCTGTCCATTCCCATTTTGTTTCTTTGCTTGTTAGTGCATGTAAGCACCTTGCTATTTTTGCAAAATCTTTGATGAATTTCCTATAGTGGGACACCAACCCTAGAAAACGTAACTCGCTCACATTTGTTGGTCTTGCATCATTTTTAATTGCCTCTGTTTTTACAGGATCAGTTTTTATTCCGTTCGCTGATACGACATGATCCAGGAATTTGACTTCCGGTTTGAAAAAGGAAAACTTTTTAGCTTTACTTTTAAGTTCATTTTTGCAAGTCGATCAAAAACTTGTTCAAGATTAACTATGTGTTCCTCAAAATTCCTTCTGTATACTACAATGTCATCTAGGTATAAAACAGCTACTTTCCACTGTAATCCACTCAAAGTCTTTTCTATGATTCCTTGGAATGTGGCTGGTGCATTGCATAAACCGAACGGCATGACAGTGTATTGAAACAATCCCCCTCTGGGTGTTGCAAAAACCGTTTTCTGTTTATCCTGCTCTGCCATGGGTACCTGATGATAAGCCATATTTAAATCCAGTGTTGAAAACCATTTAGATCCCGCGAGGGCATCAAGATCATCCTCTATTCTGGGAATGGGGTAGGCATCTTTGATCTTTATTGCATTAAGACGGCGGTAATCTACACATACTCGCCAGCTTCCATCTTTCTTCTTAACTAAGACTAGTTGCGAGGACCATGGACTATTTGACTTTTCTACCAGGCCATGCTTCTCTAACTTTTGTATTTCAGCATCTAAAATTTCTCTTTTGAAAATTGGCACTCGTCTCGGTGCTTCTTTGAATGGCTCCTCATCCATTAGCTTTATACGATGCCCTCCAATTGCAACCGGTTCCATTTTACTCTCTGGGTTAGCAAACACACGGTTTCTCCGAAAAAGGAATTCCTTGAACTTCTTTGACTCCTCCTCAGTCAAATGATCACACCCGTCTTCATAGACAGCCTTTAAATGTTGCGGTAGCTCACTGTTTTCCTCATTAACAGCGCTAATTCCATCATTACAGATATCAATTGGTCTACTCACATACTCTACTGGTATGAATAATGCCATTAAAGTACACCTCTTGATCGTAATTGGTTTTTCTCCGGAATTAAAAACACGTAAAAACACATCACATGTTTCTGTATTCAGTAGCGATTTTGCGACAGCCACATTGTGCGATTGTACGAAACTTTGAACTGGTAGTGGTAATCCGTTTATTTGTTCAACATATGTAAGCTTTGATGGTATTATAGCTTCGTGATTTTCTGGAATTTCTACGGTCTCTGTACAACAGATAAAATTAGTTCGTTTCCCAGTTCCATTGTCACAACTCTTTAAGAGTTCATTGGTGTCATGATCCCAGACACATCTGTATTTCACATAGAAGTCCTCTCCCAACAAATTTCTTTTTACTCTACCTACAAATATTTGCTATGTTCTATGTCTACATTTCCTAATGTTAAAATCATATTAGCGGTTCCTATGGTTTCAATTGTTTGTCCGTCGCTTGCTAGGAATTTTGTCCTTACTCGTTCTAGTACGGGCCTATTTTCAAGAAAAATACTGTAATAGGTTTCCTCTGTTATAAAAGATCTTCTCGCACCTGTATCTACTTTCCAAATCACATTTGTTCCCTGAATTAATCCTTCTATATGAAAGCCACTTTTTCCTGGAATCCGTATCTCATTAACAACTTCCAACTTCGCAATACTAACATTATCAACACAAATGGAATTACTCGTTATCATGGAAACTTGGCCAGTGTTGTCGAGCTGCAATTCTCCAGAATTTTTCGCCTGAATAACACTGCTGTGTTTCTCTTGCGCTCTTTTAGAAACTTCCACTGCCAAATCGAAGGAGAGATCACAATTCATTGATGTACTAGGCCTTTCAGGATATTCGACCGGCGCACGGCCTACTGCCTCGGTCCTAGGCGGTTTAACGAATGCCTACTACAGTACAATTCGTTTTCTATCATACCGGTTTTATATCATACTTCTTTTTTTATCATAGATATTTGAAACACAAAACCATTTCTTAATAATTCATTGTAAATTTCGTCTGTTATTATCATAGGTAAAAGTGTACACTTCGCTTACTATAATAGAGAATTTTCGTCCGTAATAATTTTTTCACACCTTTTTACTCTTGGGACAATCAACAAAACAAAAGAACACCTATCTACACCTGTGGTTCATGCACTGTCACTTGTCTATACACAATGGCTTGAGTGGG